TGCTTGATTAACTGCCCAAATGTTGAGATTAAACTATTCACCAAGACATTAATATACTACTGTTCAAAAGTTTGGTGTCATTTGTGGATATTAAACTTATTCAAGCAAGGATTAATGAAACTGATGAAGTGACAGTAAAAACTTACATTGTTACAAAGATTTGTATTTCAATACTGTTATTTTGAACTTTCTATTCATCAAAGTATCCTGGAAATAAAATCTCCACAAAAACATTAAGCAGCAAAACGGTTTTCAACATTGATAATTAATCTTTCTTACGCACCAAATCAGCACAGTAGAATGATTTCTGAAGGATCATGTGACATTGAAGACTGGAGCAATGGCTGCTGAAAATTCAGCTTTGCCATCACAGAAATAAATTATAATTTAAAATACATTAAAACAGAAAATTGTTATTTTAAATTGCAATAATATTTCACAATTTTACTGTTTTTATTGTATTTTTGATTATATCTTTAAGATCATTTATTTGGTTGTAAAATGGTTCTAAAAATCGGTTGTAAAAATTCAGATTTAAATTCCTTAAATTACTGAAATGTTCAGTTAAATGCTGCTGTTAGTTAACTGTTTTTAATTCATTTATAAACAAGAGTGTTTTACTAGTCATATTTAAATTGATCATTTACATTTACATTTAGTCATTTTGCAGACGCTTTTATCCAAAGCGACTTACAATTGGGGAATACATAGCGATTCTTCTTAAAGAGGCAAACAGACACAGGAAGTGCTCGTAATAACAAGTTTCAGGCATTTGTTCAAATAAGTACAAGATAGAAAGGGAAGGAATAAATAAAGAGAAAGACAAAGTTTTTTTATTTTTTTATTTAGGATATTTAATGTAGGGCTGCACGATTAATCGAATGCGATTGTCATGCGTGTTTTGTCAGCAAAGCCGGTTCTGTAATCAGCAATAAATCTCCATCACCTGCTTTCAGATGGAGCATCATTTACTACACAGAGCCGTAGTTCTCTGACAAGATATACAAAATCGTGTTTATAATCGCAGACGATTTAATCGCACAATTATGAAATCGAATAAATTGTTCTGCGATTATGAAAGCTGTTTGCGTAGCTTGTCAGTGAACTACGACTCTGTGTAGTAAACGCTGCTCCATCTGAAAGCATTTGAAAATATCACATTTAATAACATGCTTTTACTCCAAACTCA